CGACAAGCTCCTGGGCGATGCCAACACTGCGGGCAGCTTTGTGTGCCCTGTGGAGCCCCCATGGCCCCTTCTGTGCCCACAGAGCCAAGCCAGGCCGTTTCAGAACAGCAAGGCGTCCGCAGGCTGGGGTAAGCAACTCCCTGGGGACAGGACAGGGTTCAGGGCAGACAGTCACATCCTCTCCCCCACGACAACCCCGAGATGACTTAGACCAAAGGGGCACAGGCCAAGGGCAGGCAGAGGGAGGCTCCAGCCAAGACTGTCAGATCCTTCCGGCAAGAGCAGACGAGGCCTCCTGGGCACCTGGCAGACAGGAGCCCCTCCCCCAGCGCCTGCCAGCGCGCTGACGGACCGAAGCAAGAGGCCTATTTCTTCACCAGGCCTCTGAATAACTAGGGCACTTCCACAAGGTCACAGTTATTCATTTAAATTCCAGCTCTAATCAGCAGGCAGAGCCCGAGAAATGATCCCTTCTGAGGACAGGATGTCATTGGGCCACAGGAAGAGTCCCTCCTGGCGGGATGGGGTGCTGGAGGGTGAGGGGGTCTCACACCCATGGGCCCCTGCACTGTCGCCTGCCACCTAAAACCTTCTACCACCTTCCCTCCCCTCCTTCCTCTCCTCCTACTGGCTTCCTGCCCTTATGGGAGAGGGTTCTGGAACATTCAGAAGCACGTTGAGGGTTGGGGAACAGCCAAGGGCGACCCACGACAAAGCTCAGTGGGCCGAAGTGTGGAAGAAGGCAGCTGATGGGGTCCCTTTCAGACCACAAAAGGGTGGCCCAGCCTTGAAGATGTCACTTCTGCCCTTTGGGCTTCACTTTCCACCTCTGAAAAGCAAGAGTGGCACTTCCTCGGAGAGGGCACCCCGAGCTCCCACAGGTCTCAGCTCCCTACAGACTCTCCATGTCCCCTGTGCGGCTGGCCACACTGCCTGTTCCATGACAACTTATGAGGTTATCTTATGTGCCTCTCAGCGTGCAGAGGCAGATGCAGGCAAGACTGGGACTCAACCCCGGTGCATGGCACCGCCGTGGGAATGGCAGAGTTAGAAAAGCAAGAACGCAGGCTTCAGAGACACACAGATGTGAGATGCTGGTGTCGGTGCTAGCAAGAGGCCCCATGGGCAAGTGACTGAAGTTTTCCGGGGCTGGAAACACCTACCTGAGGGGCGGGGACCTGGAGAGTTCCACGGGGGAGGTGTCAGAGCTGAGCTCCCCCCACCAGCTCAGCACCTCACCAAAGCTTCTAGTTGCCTTTATTGTGCAGAACCTCCTTCCCCAAGGACTTCCCCGTGTGGAAGTCAAGAGAACTGCACCTGCCCCTTTCCCCCTGGGTATCCAGGACCCGCTGAGTCCTGTACCTGGGGACAGTGCCACCCACCAGGCCCCTCTGCAGGCTGCATTTTACACAAGGGTTACTTCTACTCAGTCTCCTCGGCCTGGGAAATTCATCAATTAATCAATCGGCCCTTTAGAGTCTTGCAGCGGCCCCTGGGTAAACAGTTGCATTAGCTCGTAAAATCCCCAATCTGTCTTCCTGAGGGGAAGCAAAGAAAAAACTCAGAGAACCACTGAAGGCTGCTTGCTGCGGAATCACAACACCACTGGCTCCGGACTGCCTGGCCAGGGGCTGCGAGAGGCGGGAGGCTGCCCACTGACCTCAGCCGGGGCTGGGCCTGCTGGGGCCACCTCCTGCCACAGCCAGGGCCACAAGGGAAGCGTCAGAACCAGAGATTTGCTTCTGGCTCAGAAACACCAAGAAGCAAGGGGGTGGTGGGGTGACAGGGTTGGCAGTGTGCCTTGGCCACTTCAAGGGTAGAAGGAAGAACACAGGATTTGGAACTCGGCTGCATCCTCTCTTGCAGCTGCTCCCAAGCAGCCGGGTGACCGCAGCACATCGCTGAACCTGCCCAGGCCTCCACTGCTGCTGCATTGGCACATGACTCAAAGGGATACTGAGATTAAATGAAATGATGGCCTTGGACTGGTGCTGCGTGGGGCTCGTCCCAGCCGCTGCTATCTGAGCACCTCCACTCTCTGACTAGAACCAAGAGGACCTTGGCATCTACTGCGTTTTCGTTCCACCCTGCTATTTCTCCCAGGACCAATATGGTACTTTTATGAGAATTGGCAAAAGGTTGCCCTTTGGGCCAAGGCAGCCCCATGGGGACAGGACAAACAGGAGGAATGCAGGAAGCTGATGGCCTCAGCTGGGAGAGCCCATGGGAGGCACACCCACCATGCACAATGGCCAGTGACTCCAGGTCATCTCTTCTGTGAGTCAGCTGGGGGCAGGCAGGGCGAGGTAAGCCAAAGGGCATACTGGCAAAACAAAACATGAAGAGTTGGGCTTACTCCCTCTTGGAGTAAATATCCTCCCGGAGATCTTCCCTCATCACCCTCTGTAAACTAAGGACTTCTCTTCCATCTTGCTCCAGTTTTTCTCTAAAACACATCATTCACGGCCAGCATTGCAGCACAGCAGGTCAAGCTGCAAGGCTAGCATCCCATATGAGCACAAGTTTGAGTCCCAGAGACACCACTTTTGATCCAGCCCCCAACTAATGTACCTGAGAAAGCAGTGGAAGATGGTGCAAGTGTTTGGGTGCCCACACCCGAATAGAAGACCTGGATGGATTTCCTGGCTCCCTGCTTCAGCTAGGGCTGAGTCGGGCCATTCTGACCATCTGGGGAGTGAATAAGCAGATAGAAGGTCTCTCTCTCTCTCTCCCTCTCTCTCCCTCTCTCTCCCTCTCTCTCCCTCTCTCTCCCTCTCTCTCTCCATCCCCATTACTCTGCCTTTCAAATAAATAGATCTTTAAAAAAATAAATAAAAAATAAAAAACATTTGTCACCTACCTCCTGCTATGATATGTATGGAATATACACAAAAATATTATAAATGTGCATATACATTCATATGTGATATGTACATGTGTATATATGTGTGTGTGAGTACTACACACACACACAGACACATCACACACAAGGAAAATGTGTATCATGAAAAAACTCTACATGGATTTCAAAAACTTTGGCACCAAAATACACCTCTTTTAATCCCATCTTCCATGGACTTCTAAGTATCCATGTGTGTGTGGGTGTGTGTGTGTGTGTGCACATGTGTGTGTTTCAGTTCATTGTCTGCCTCTGTTTAGAATAAAATGCCCATGAGGGCACAGGTTATTTTCGTTTTGTTTACTATTTTGTCCCAAGTGTCTAGAGTAATGTCTGGTACGTGAATATTTGTTGAGTGAGTGATTGAACTAATGTAGTATTAAATAGAATGCATTGAACGTTATCTTCCTAGGAAGCTGTCTTCTGCCTTAGTTCAACATCAATTATTTTCAAAGGGGTGGGTAGGGAGGAAAAAGAGACACAGAAACCCTGTTATATAGCAACAACCGAGTGGCTCTCTCGCACTGTGTATCGTCCCATGTAGAACGTGATAAGAAGGACCCTAATGGCTGATTATTTGGGATTTTCTAGAACAACAAGGAGGTGAGCATGTGATGCAGCGGTTAAGACGCGTGCATTCCACACTGCGGTTGCGGGGTTAGAGACCGAGCCTTGCTTCTGATTCCGATTCCTGCTAATGTAAACCAGGGGAGGCAGCCATGATGGCCCAAGATCTGGGTCTCTGCTACCCATGTGGGAGGCCCAGGTTGGGTTCTAATTTCCTGGCTTTGGCCTTTCCCAGCCCCAGTTGTTACAGGCATTGGGGAGTGAACCAGCAGATGGAAGATTTACCTCTGCCTTCCTCCCGGCTACCCATCTCTCTGTGTCACCCTTTCAAATAAATTCTAAATAATTGTATAAGATTTGTGGGGCCATAAAGGATATATGTTTTTTTTTTTTAAAAAAAAAAAAAAAGGAAAAAGGACTGCCAGTGAAGAAAATGCCACATTACCTCTAAGCAAAACTAAACAACTAATTAATAGCCCCATTAGGAAATACTTACCAGATTTTCAGTCCCTAAGGATTCGGGGCCCTTTTGTTCCACTAGAGTGTGTATCAGTTTTTGAATCAGAAGGTCCTAAGTGCAAATCTCAGTGCAACCATTAACAAACTATGATGGTGGACAGCACTTCTTAACCCTAAGTTAGGGCCCTAAATACTGTGCACACTAAAATGATTATAAAAATTACTATCTTATATTGATGCTGTAAGAATTAAATGCTAGCTGGGCCAAATAAAAAAAAAAAACATGTAAAAATACCCAAAATGATGCCCCTTCCTATTGAGTGGAGCTAGTTACTCTTAAAGTTTTAGCCAGTGTAGAACAGTCTCCAAGCCATTTAAATCATCTGACTTGGTTGCAACATCTCATATGATTCCATATATGTGTATGCACACCTATGTGTCTAAAATAGACATGGCCTAAAATTTGGACTCTGGATAAATACTAATTTTGAAAAGAGAAATGTACAATATCATCAGGATGGTTCTCCCATTGTGAAAAACCATTCATTCATACCATTCCTCTTCTTTATTCATTTTTTTTAACAGTGAGCATGTATTACTTACATATCCAGGAAAAGTAAATACTGTTATTTTAATCGTGAGAAAGAAGAGACAATTCTCAGGATAAAAAGAAAGAAACCTTTCACCCACATCACAGTTCCCATGCAAAGCATGAATTTTCAACTGCAAGAAGCCATAGAAAATATGAATTAGAAAATGCATATCTAATGCATACTAAAATGCATATTGAATGCATTTTAAAATATTTTCCAAAAACATGCTTATTTGCCACTTCTTTGATTCACTTACAAATATTCATCAGAAGGACATGATTGTATAAGTATGGGAATCACATTCCTTCAGTTTTAAAAGTTTTTCAAAACCAATCCAATCTGTCAATTCAAGGCATTTCTTCTTCAAAAATGCAAGACACTTAGATATTTGTCCCTGGGAAAGGTTCTCACTTGGATTCAAACCATGCACCACCCAGCAGAGGGAAAATGCCCACAGCAGCTGTGCAAACACAAAGACTCACCTGGACCTTGACTGACGTCTGTGGCAGCATTTCAAAGGGAGGGAATGGGAGAAGAGAAAGAGAGGGAGAAAAAGGAAGAAGAGAGTTAGCAGCACACACACACACAATGCAGTGTGCCCTTGCATGACGTCCAAGCTCATGCAAGCCCCAAGGGGGCTCAGTTTCAAAGCTCTTACTTCTACCTTCACCCAGAACCACCCATGCAAGCTCAGGGACCAAGCTCCCTTTCCACTGTGCATGTTAGAAGAGTTTCATTTTGCATCTGTCCGGAAAGACACCATCCTGGAATCAGATTGGGCTGCAAAGAGCCAAGCAAACTGGAATCCTGCAAGAATATTGGTTAAAATATTCTGGTTGATTTCCACACACCAACACCCAAGCCAATCCTCCTTTTCTCCAGATACCAAACACTGGACACGAAGTCAAGCAAGGCTTCCCAGCAGAGAGAAAAATTCATAGTAAACCATATCCTGAGGAATAAAGGAAAAAAGACAAATGAATTAGGAACGAGCATTGCTGCATTATTTACCACAGAGGGAGAAGGACACAAGGTCACAAAACATTCCCAAGTCCCTCCCAGCATTCCCAGTAACCACTCCTCATCACAGACAGCAGTGCCTTTGCGTAAGATTGTATCAGTAGAGCATTCGCCCTACAAACTGATACTCGCGATACTCGCTTCCCCCTTTAATTTTTCTCCTCGCTTTTCACCCCATTGCTAATGACATGAATTGCCATTTGAAATCACTTTTGACAGCTACAAATAAACATCCAACTCTGGAAAGGCTGACATTTGAATTAAGCCAATGAACTTTCTAAAAATGAACACCGGCTCATTCCCATCATCTACACGAACAGCACAGTCTTATCCTCCTACACCCGGATGCAAAGTAGAATCCAACGGGAGGTGAAACGTGAACCCCCAATGCATACACAAGTATACAACATGTACCAAAAAAAATCAGAAGCCTCAGCATCTCCATCTCCCCATCAACACCCATGTCCAGAGATTCTGACCTCCTCTGGATCATCGAACCATGTGTCATTAGTACACATTCATCAAAAAAATACTTTAATAAAATGGAAATTCCATTTGAACATTATGCATTATATTCATATAATGAAATATCACACCATACCTAGCAAAACATACAATAGCAACTTTTTAAAATTAATCCTGCAGGAGAAGCCTAACAAAGGAAACCCAAGGCATTGTCAAAACTTTTAGACCCAGCCCAAGGGATGTATTGCAGCAGAGGAAGAACAAGGGGCTGATTCAGAAAACCACACTCCACCCAACAACTCTCTGTGACTCACGTAGCATCACTAAATGGTGGATCTGGCATAGTCAAAGACATTAATTAACTAGCTTAATTCTTTTTGTGAGGATGGAGGATGAAAGAGATTGAGAGTCTTGCCCAAGCTCACATAGCTGGTTCAGAGAGGGAGATTACAAGTAGATTCTCCATCTCTTGGACCCAATCTAATTCAATGTCCATTCAACTAAATTCTAGGTCCCTGAAGGGAATAGGGTACCCAAATCCAGTTTGTAGACTCAAGTGAGTACCTGGAAGCCAGGGGGACTCTGCATGAGAATCTCCCAACTATCCTATGAGTGGGTTATGATTTATCCTCTACACCTCTAAGTGCATGCCTTGAACAAAGTGAGTAATGCTCTTCATGCCACCAGTGGAAACACTGGCATTTGTATTTGTACATCAATAGGTCCGTATGGCCGTTGCCCAAAGAAAATCCAAGGCTTGGATAGTCTGTGCTGTACCCTAGCATCCAGGAAGGGGACACCCATAGCAACCGCTGAGAGTTCCTCAACCCACACCCTGTATCCCCTAGAAGCTGTGGCTGCCCAGAGAGACTTCTAGAGAGTTCTGAGTCATTCCTCAAGCACACCTCCTTTCAAGTTTTCTGCTAAGTTAGATTTAGGGGTGGAGTGGCAAGAGGGAGGAAGAACAAAGGCAAAATAGAAGAGGTGGGAAGGGAAAACAGGCTGCATAAATAACCAAGCAGGGCCATTAACTGTGACTGATGGATCACCTAGAATAATGGCTGTTAAAATACCTCTTAATTCAACTGTTTACATGTGGTGGAAGTTCTGTGGTCGACCATCACACAGTTCTTCATACAAACACATTCTTGTAGGCGCAAAGACCCAGGGATATAAGGTTTCTGGGAACCCCAAATGTTTCTTGATACTCAGTGGTTGCCCATTTTGGGGGTTGTAATTACAACCTTCAGCTTTGGAGAGGGACATGTCTGAGTTCAAATCCCAGCCTAGGCTGTGGCCATGGGCCCATCACGGACTTGTAAATCATTTTCCTAGAAAACAGGAGTAACAACAGGGCCTTCCCCCATGGGGTGTTAGGAGAATTAGATGAGATTAAATGCCTGTAAAGCCCTTAACTCGGTACAAGACAAACACTGCATAAATGTTATCTGCTCTGATTGTTATCATTGTGAATTACCACAAACAGAAGTACCCAAAAATGTTGACCAGATGGCTCACTGGAAACACCGAGACACCACAGGAATTAAGTGGATGATGATTTGGGTTCAATTCTTCTGCTTCTGAATGAGGATACCTGCATCGGCTCCTTCTCTCTCTGGTGCTTTCCTCCCTCTCCAATCCTCAGCATGAAGGGGAAAAGGGAGATAGAGTTCTGGGTGAGCAGAAACAGGGGTTAAAATAAATTTCATTCTTATTTCTTCTGTTTTTCTTCCACAAGACTTAAGGTAGGTCAGTTCTACTGGGCTTTAAAGTCCAGCCCAGCTCTTCCTGTCAAACAGCAGCAGCAGTGGTTAAGTTACCACTTGGGAGGCCCTCATACCACACTTGCGTGCCTGGCTTTGAATCCCTGATCTACACAGATTCCAGGTACCTGCTAATGCACACCCTTGGAGGCAGCAGGCGGTGGCTCAAGTGCTTGGGGGCTCCTGGTTTTCACTTGGTCCAGCCCTGGCTGTTGCAGACATTAGGGGAGCAAAGCAACAGTTGGAAGATCTGGAAAATTTCTCTCATTCAAATACATAAAAAACATAAATTAACTTTAAAAAAAAGAAGAAGAAGAGCAACACTACCACTAAGACAAAACCCACTTAGCTGGGGATCAAGATCCAAGCTTGGTTCTTGGCTGTGGCATCAACCCGGGAGACATTTTGAGTGTTGTTTCAACTGCAGGAATAGAGACACACGGCTACCTGGCCCCTGGCCCAAGAAGCAGCGAGTGACCTGAATTGGTAGACTCCATTCTGACCAACAGAATGAGTTGGCAAAAGCAGGAGGTTGATGGGAAAAGGGGGATGGTTAAACAGGACTTTGGCAGTATCCATCTGCTACAAGGTCTACCCAGCTTCCTTGCCCACCCTGTCTCCCAACAACTCCCAGCTGTCTTCCGGGCAATGTTTCTCATCCCTAATCCACGTGGCTTGGTAGAAGTGCCCCCCACTCCCACCTTAGCTCCCAGGGTAGTCGGTCCTCTGGACTCAATAATAGCTCAGGAACAGAAATGCAACCCAGACTCAACCAGTGAGTTTTTCCAGGGAATTTTACTAGAGCTACCAAGAAATGGGGAGCTCTTTTATCTCCGCCAGATTCCTTCTTTGTCACCATAGGCAGATATCCCACTTCAGAAAGAGGCCAACGTAGAAGCAAACAGGGTTTCTTACTATCATAAAGGAGAGTGGGACAGATCGAGAGTCAAATCGCAGCCCTGCCTCTCTACCCACCCACAAGCACCTATACTTCTCTGAGGTTCCGTCTTCTCGGGTGTCAATGGGCACCTAACAGCGTGGATCTCAGTGACCCCTCGTCATCTATCCACCCTTCAGCGCACCATGACTGAGCACATGTTATAGGCCAGATACTGAGGATATAAGCAGCGAATGAAACAGACAATACCCTTGGGTTTTAATGCTGTAAATAATAAAAACAGAGATATGTAACACCCAGTGGTGGGCCGTGCCATGAAGAAAGGAGAGGCAGATTAGGCAGCAGCAGAGGGTGCCCATTTAGAGTTGGTAATGAACAAAGACCTTTCCTGGGACGTTGCATCTAGGCTGGTGCCTGGACGAGGTGAGGAACAGTCTTACATGCACCTGGTAGACCAGGCAAAGACAGTTCAGACAGGGAAACAGCAAATGCCAAAGCTCCCCACGGACCCTGCTCGATTACTACTGCTGCTGCGACAGAACCAAGGACTGGCTCACGCGACCCCGCACCTTCCCTCTCCTGTCCTCCTGTCACTCACACACGGTCCTTGCCACATAATGGTAACAGGTACTCGAGAAACGCACAGGGGGCAGAAACCCCTGATGAGAACTAGTTGTGGCCCCGTCTATGGCCACCTTCTTTACAAGGTTGCCACACAGAAAAGAAAGGATTTGAAACCCACCACCCACCTCCACCTTCAGCATCACAGCCAAGCAAGGGGCAAATTGGGGCGTTCCCACCTCCACTCAGTACCCCACAGACATATTCAAAAATACCTTCAGCTTCAAGGTCACATGCTCAGCAATGTCATTGTCAAGTTGAAAACAAGGGCCCCTCCAATTTCCCCTGTTGCACCTGTAGAAGAGCTCAGCCCAGGAAGACCCATATCACTGTTCCTTCAGGCTGGATCACCCCCAAAGGAAAGTCCCCAGGACCCTCACCTGCCCAGTATCTCCTCACCCCCTCCCCACATCCCTGGAGGAGCTCTGAGGAGCATGGGGCAGCCCGTACAGCCAGCCTGCTGCCAGCCAAACCTTTGGGATGCCACCAGAAGAACTCTGAGTCTGACCCATTTGAAAGAGAGAAAATAGAACATAGATGTAAATGCAGTGGTGCTCTGAAAACTCCAGGCCCAGCAGTGTGAGAAAATAAAACAGCAGGAGGTCGCTGAGGAAGCACTGGCACGGGTGAGGATGCCACTTTCCCCACATCAATCTTATCTGGCTGTCAACTGCCTTTTCTTGGGCAATTTGCTAAGTCTGGTCTATTAAAAAAAATCCATCCATACAGGAGG